TTTCTAACCCATATCTTTTCCCATGTATCCATCATCACTGGTTTTCTGAATCTATTTCCAATAATGTATTGTACAACCTTTTAATATGCATTTGACTTTGGTCTCTAATCTGCTTTACCAAATTTTCCTCATGTTGCATAAAACCAGTTTTTTGATCTTCCTTCCATCTAGCTTGAAGCTGACCATACTGAAACCAAGTATAGATTATACCTTCCCCTTTCAATATCTCTAAAGATTTCAATTGCCGTTTACCCCTTTCCATAACAAGGAGATCTTTATAAGTAACCTGCAAGACCTCCTTTCTCCCCTCTCCTGTTCCAACTCCACCCATACCGGACTATGACGTTCTTGGGCATATTTTCGTAAAAGGATTGATGTCTATCGGGAAAAAAAGTAAAGTCTCTTTCCACAGCATTCCTTTCTCGCCAAATATCTCTCAATTCCATATCTTCCAATATATCAAAAAAAGATTTAGGCAGTTTAGCACGTGTAGATGTCTTAGATAAGCTTTTTTTTATCTTTCTGTGGGTCTATTACACCATTCCAATCACCCATCAACATTAAAGATGTATAATCCCATTGTATAATTTTGGTATGTAAAAATTTAAAAAAAATTTCTTGCTGTTGATTAGGTGCATATATTCCAATTAAAAGCATTTTCCCATTCTGTGTTAATAGTTCAATTGCAATGTATCTGCCTTGAGCATCTGCCTCAATTAAATTAGCTGATAATCCTCTTGTGACGTATATGACTAGTCCATTTTTCTTCTCTGGTGCTGATGCCACAAAATGTGTACCTAGTCTCGAATTTATCAAATATTTTTGATCTGAAAATTTAATATGCGTTTCTTGCAAGCAAATAACATCGTTCTTAAATTGTTTCAAGTAGTGAAATACTTTTCTTTTTCGTGGTGAGTTTAATCCGTTGACGTTCCAGGATAAAAATTTAGTTGCCATCTTTGGCTCCTCGAAGCTTTAAAAGCATCAGCTGAACATCTTCCTCCATCTTATTCTTCAGCCTAGCCCCACCCACTGCTTCTGTTTTTTGGATTTCTTGAGTTAAGTCTTGAGACTGTTGCATCAGTTGTTTTTTATAAATTGCTCTTGTCAGTCGTTGTTCTCTTGGTAACTATCTTCTTAAGTGGCTCAAGAATTGGTGGTGGACCTCCACTCTGCAATGGATCTTCTTCCAGATTGATTCCTCCAGCTGCAGCTTCAGCATAAGTTTGTACCTGCCTTCCATCTTTCTCTTGTTGTATCATCTCCATTTGTTTTCTGCTCCCCCCTGGCGAGGGTGGGTGTCCAGCCTTTAAGACATTGACATAAAAGTCCTTTGCCTTCCAAACTGTGTTTAAACAATGTCTTTCCCCACCGTGGGTCACTATTAATTTATTAATTTATTTATTTTATTGAATTTCTATACCGCCCTACTCCCGAAGGACTCAGGGCGGTGCACAGCCATGAAATAAAACACATATACAAAATTTAAAATCGAATAAAATGAATTAAATTAAGCCATATGGAACATCCCATCTGTACTGCATTTGCCGGTTTCTCAATTCATTCACCAAAAAACCAAAGTCCTTTCTGCCTCTTAACATTTTAGGGGGAATCTCTTTCAAAACCACCAATTCCTGTCCAGACACTTGGATCTTATTCTTGTATGAAGCTTGTAAGATATCATTTCTGATTCTCCTAGTTGTAAAATAAATCACCACATCTCTTGGTAGCTGCCTTTGTCTTGCCAACCAGGAATTGACCCTATAAATTTTGTCAATTTGAAAAGCCACATGTTCTGAACTTTCATTAAGTATCTCTGCTATAGCATTAGTACAAATGTCTTTTAGATTTTCACGGCTATTTTCTTTTAAACCTCTGAGTCGCAGGCAGGGCCGGATTTAGATGAAAAGAGGCCCTAGGCTATTCCACTTATGAGGCCCTTTCACCTATAGTGAAAGTGTAATTTTAATTTTGCTAACAATTTGAATGTAAGCCCCTCTTGATCTTGAGGCCCTAGGCTGAAGCCTAGTTAGCCTATAGGAAAATCCGGCCGTGGTCTCAGGGCAAATTCCATTGATCTGTATTGTAACATAACCAATTCATCATCCACCACCTCTGTTTTTGTCATGATTTCTCCTACTTTAGTTTCCAGATTTATATTGGCTTCATCAATTTAAAAGAAGCCTCGTGTGTCTGTGTGTCAGCCAGAAGTTGTTGCTTCTGTGTCACCACTGACACTGCAGGAGAACCTCCTCCCACTTTAGGAGTTGCTGGCTTAACTTGTTTAGCAGCCATTTTATTTTAAAAAGTCTTATTCCTTTTTACTGCCACAAAATTTGCAATCAATCTTCAAAAGTCTAATTCAAAATTTTTCAGAACAAATAATCTCTTTTCTCCAATGAGTTCTCCGTTCCCAACACTTTCCTCTTTTAACGCAGAGCTCTCAGCAAGCACTTTCGTTACTAACTTTCACTTTCCGCTCCGCTCATAACAGGGGCGTTCCCTCCAGCCTCCAACTCAGGAAAATTCCGTTTGAAACAATGTACACAGGGAGTTAAGCTTTGTTACTTTTAAATGCTTGCTCTCTTGCTTCCGCTCTGTCTGCTTCTTTAACAATCAATTGAACTCACATTTCGCTGGCAGAATTGGATGCGACATCTGGCTCTGGCTAAGCAGAGTCGCCACGGATCCGGAGCGTTGGGTGGGCTGAACTGGGGAGCTCTCACCCTCCAAGCCCCTGGCTTTGTTCCAGGAGCTTTCGGGGAGCTCTACTCACCCCCACCGGCTCTCCTCTCCTTCTTCTCCCGAAGGAGAGTTTTTTCAAACCGCCGGACAGCTGTTTAGCGCTGTCAGGGCGGTTTTACGAGATCGCGAGGCTGGCGGTCTATGGAGACTGTCCCACGACGTCCACGGAGCCAACCGGAAGTCTGATTCTTTGTCATATTCTTAATTAGGATCTTGGTTTTATCTTTATTTAATTTAAATCCCGCTACTTTCCCATAAGCCTCCAACTCCTGGAGCAAGATTGGTCCTGGTTCCAAAGGTTCTTCCAAGACAAATATCAAATCGTCCGCAAAGGCTTGGCGCTTAAACTCTTCCCCTCTGGTTCTTAGCCCTCTAATTCCTTGGTTCCTTCTGACCTCATTCAATAATAGCTCTAGGGTTAAAATAAATAAAAGTGGAGATAATGGACATCCCTGTCTAGTACCTTTACTTATATCAATTTTTTCGGACTCCTCCCCATTAATAAGTATTTTCGCTGTCTGTCTTGCGTATACTGTCCGGATTGCCCTGGTAAATCTTAGGAATTTGGCTTTCATCTAAATGCTCGACCATTAAAGAAGACAACTACCAAAAACTACTTGGTCAAACTAAAGAAATGCTGGAAGGATGGAAAGGTTTACAGTTATCATTATTAGGTAGAATTGCAGTAGTTAAGACGTATATCCTGCCTAAATGGATTTTTCTCTTTCAGACAGCCCCAGTTTTATTAGATACAATTTTTTTTCAATCTTTAGATCAATGTATACGTAGATTTGTATGGCAGAACAAAAAACTAGGATTAAATTGAAAATGCTTCAAGAATCCCCTTCCAGGGGAGGATTTGGCCTACCTAAATGGGAGCTTTATCATCAAGCAGCTGTCTTAAATTGGATCAGAGACGGGATTGCATTGAGGAGGAGGAGCATCCTTAGCCTGGAAGGCTACAATTTGCAACAGGGGTGACACTAATATCTGAGTCAGGAAAGGCCCAAAAAACATAAATACTTTATGGACCACTTTATCCGAAAGGTTTTGATGACCGTATGGGATCGAATAAGAAATAAATATTACCTGATGACTCCGATTTGGCTTTCCCTTTTAGAGGCGATGATACACCCAACTTTTTATAACAGAAATAAACTATTAATTTACCAAGTTCTGTTGAATCCTTCAGGCAAAGTAAAATCTCGAAATACACTGGCGGAATTAGGCTATGAGCTAGATTGGTGGTCATACAATCAGATCCAATCTAGGACAGCTCAGGACAAAAACAAGGGAGGAATCTATAATTCCCTACAGGAACCTGGTAAGATCTTGTTGGGGAAGGATGAGAAGGTATTATCCAAACTGTATCAATTCCTCTTAATGGATTGCATTGGAGAGGAGGTCATCAAGGACTCAATGATTGCCTGGGGGAGAAATTTGGGATACTCGATAGAACTTGAAAAATGGGAAGAAATTTGGGGGAAAACCTTAAAATTAACAATGTCGGTTTCCTATAAGGAAAATATATACAAAATGCTGTCTAGATGGCACCTGCCCCCGGCTAGATTATCGAAGATGTTTATTTATTTATTTATTTATTTATTTATTAGATTTCTATACCGCCCTACTCCCGAAGGACTCAGGGCGGTGCACAGCCAAACAATAAAAACACATACAATACAAAATTTAAAAAATAGAATAAAATCAAATTAAATAATTTTGGCCCCGACAAATTTAAAACCCCAAACTTTTAAAACCAATTTAAAATTGAATATATAAATACTAAAAAATATTTAAAATTTTAAAAATCTTTTATAAAAGAGGGGGAAAATTAGGCCAGGCCGGCCTGGTGAAATAGTAAGGTCTTTAAGGCGCGGCGGAAGGTGCGCAGATCCGGGATCCTCCGTATCTCTGGGGGGAGCTCGTTCCAGATAGTAGGTGCCCCCACAGAGAAGGCTCTCCCCCTGGGGGCCGCCAGTCGGCATTGTTTGGCTGACGGCACCCGGAGGAGCCCCTCTCTATGGGAGCGTACCGGCCGGTGGGAGGCTATTGGTGGTAGTAGGCGGTCCCGCAAGTACCCGGGTCCTAAGCCATGGAGCGCTTTAAAGGTGGTAACCAAAACCTTGAAGCGCACCCGGAAGACCACCGGGAGCCAGTGCAGCTCGCGCAGGAGAGGTGTTACATGGGAACGCCATGTCGCTCCCATTACCACCCGCGCGGCCGCACTCTGCGCCAGTTGGAGCCTCCGGGTGCTCCTCAAGGGGAGCCCCATGTAGAGAGCGTTGCAATAGTCCAGGCGGGAGGTGACAAGGGCATGAGTGACCGTGCGTAAAGAGTCCCGATCCAGAAAGGGACGCAACTGTTCCCGGGAACCTCTCCGGTTTGTTGGAAATGCAACGCCGCTATGGGAACTTACTTTCATAGTTGGTGGACCTGTCCCCGAGCAAAAGAATATTGGGCTAGAATTCAAAAATAGATTTTAGAAACCATAGGATGTAGAATAGATTTGAACCCGGAAACGTTTTTACTAGGCATGAAACCAGAGAACTTAAACAAATCTAATTGGTATCTCGCTCCCCACATCATCATTGCAGCCAGGATCTCGTTCGTGCAAGAATGGAAATCCAAAAATATTCCATCGGAGGCTACGTTAATTGCAATGGACTGTGCAGAAGCAGACAAGCTTACTGGACTTTTGCGAGATAGACAAGAATCGGGGTTATATAGGAGCTGGGACAGATGGTATGCTTGGCTGAAAAAAAAGAAACCTTAAGAAGAATGAAAATATTAACCTTAATGTGAACGTGGGTAAATATTTATAGGAGCATTGCATGACAGTTGAGAATTTTTTCTTCTGGATAAACTTTTCCTTCTTTTGATGAGTTGGTTTAATGGAGGTTTGTACTTTCTCTAGGCGAAAATTGATACTTTAAAACTCTATATGTATTATATTACTCTCTGCAATTCTATCCATATTGTTATACTTTTTTTCTGTATTTTTTAATAATTTTCAATAAAAAATTTAAAAAGAAAAATAGGCCAAAACCCCCTGGCCAGAAGGCAGGAAGGGATGCCGAAGCCCCCGGGAAGGTCCTGAGCTGGCACCGATTGTGAGGGTAGCCTCTTTGGAGTAACTGCCCCAAGTGAACTGGTCCTGGCGAACAGTCTCAGGTGGCCGTGGGAGAGGCTCCTTAGCCGTGCAGCTCGGGGAGATGGTGCCGCTTTGGCATTGGCAGGCAGCCAGGGCCACAGAACACAAAGGTCACTTATGCCTGCCAATTGGGGAGAGGGCTCTGTAGTGCCAGTGGCTGGAGGAGGATTTGAGCCTGGACTGGCTGGAGATGACATTGCCTTGGTGAGAGATGGGGTTCATGATGAGCAAACCCTGGAATAAGACCAAATGGGGCTGGAAGTAGAGGAGCTGGGTGTATTGCTTTGATAAGATGGTAGAGGTAAAAAGAGTGGAGAGGGTGGCCTTGGCAGACAAAGGGAAGGGCAGTTACCAAAGCAATGATCACTTAAAGGTGGCTTCAACCCAGTCCAGACAGCCCCCTAGCACAATTCTCAAGAAGCTGAAAGGGAAGAGAGGAAACACACTTGGATTGCAAGACACGGCCGTCAACCCTAGTAGAGAGACCAGACTAAGACACAGGTGCTCTGTAGAGCTGAAAGCTGCTCTTATTAGGATAGCCATAGCCACTGGGGATTGAATTCCGGAGGTGCTCGGCCGCCCCAGGACATTGGGGCGCATTCTCTCTGCTCGAGGCCAGGAGCCAGCCTGCTTCCTAAGAGGAGGAAGGGGCCCAGACTGGCCAGAGAAGCCAGCAGCCTGGGGTGGCGGGCAGTGGGGCACTCACCTCGGACACAGCACCCCCGTGCTCCGATGGGCGTATGTTCCTCGTGCGTGTGCGTGCACCGGCATTTTGCTCGCCAGGCTGCCACATCAAAGCCAGTTCTTCGCCGAAGCCAGAATTCGCCCACCTCTTCCGGGCATGAAGGAACAAACAGGAATCCCTGGCATCGGCAGTCTGCCACAGTGCAGGGCACAGTGGCTCGTTTCTCTGAAACACAGAATTGGCCATCAAAACGGGGAAGCCGGAAGGAAGGATGGCAGGTCGCCCAGCAAAGCAAGCAGGGAGTTTCCCCAAAGCCGCCTCTGGAGGGAGAGAACCAGGGGTGAAATGTAAAATTTGTTACTACCGGTTCTGTGGGCGTGGCTTAGTGGTGGGGTAATGTGACTGGGTGGGCGTGGCCAACTTTTTAAAAAACCTTTTTAAAGCATTTTTTACACCCTATTCAGGCGAATAGGTTGTAAAAAAATGCCTTTAAAAGGTTAAAAAAAAGGCTCTGACAATCACAGCTGTGGTGTGCAACAGCCAGAGCCTTTTTCTTACCTTTCAAAAGCAGGAAGTAACGACAACCGGGCGGGTGGGCGGAGCCTCACGCCACCTTCGCTACCACTTCTCCGAACCACCTGCCACAATCGCTACCAGATCGCCCGATCTGGTCCAAACCGGGAGCATTTCTCCCCTGGAGAAAACCCCTGGGCAGGGAGACACACCCCCCCCAAGCAGGAAGGCAAAGGGCCCCCTGAGTTCGTGCATTCAGCTTTATTTTAGACAAGATCTGGTATTTGATATACCATGTTCTGCCAGGGAGCAGAGATGCTCAATTCTGAAGACCCAGAGATCTGACACTGGACTCCCTGGAACAGAAACGGCCACGGGGACCTCCAGGAGGCGGCAAACAGCAACACTCGGCTGCTTCAGAGGCTGCTCTGCCTTCTGCCCATTTGGGAAAGAGGGCACGGACTGCCCGAGGCCAGGCCTGCTGTCCCAGGCACTCAGGCCTGCAGCACAGGGTGGCCTCGCTTTCCACGGCCCCTTGGATGAATCCCTTCCGTCTGAGAAAAGGCCCAGATAGATTTGAGGTGGAAATTTAGTTACAGGTAATCCTCAACTTATATCCATAGCAGAACCTGCCTGTTACGGTCATGAGTCATGATGGGAATGAAACCGGCCATCATGGGCCTGACCTGATTTCAGAAGCATTTTCTGTGGTCGTCATTAACCCAATCACTGTGATCATTAAGCGAATCCTCAGTCATTAAACAAATGCCATGGTCCTTAAGTGAACCCATTATTCACTATGGGGCATTTTTGCCAAAAACATTGTAAATTGCAGTCACATGACTGGAGGATGCTGCAAATGACAATAATCCAAGCCAGCCGTTGAGTGGCCAAAATGTGGCCACGTGACCGTGGGAAGCCTTTGGGACCAGGTCATGGGTGCCTTTGGTGGCTCCATCAGAGCTTTGAATGGTTGCTAAGCAACCGGTCGAAAGTCCACTACCTGCCCTTACTTAAAGATTTATATGGGGCGCATCTCGCGCCACAAAACTCTGGGCACCTAACAGCAGTTATGACAACACAAAAAATAAAAACAATGCAATAAGAGAATAAGAACCAGACCCCTCCCCCACTCCATCAACGACACTCGGTCATCCATAGGACACCCTGGGCAGCAGCCGTGCCACACCAGCGGCTGGGGAGGGGGGCAACTCAGCTCTTGGCCGTGTTTTGGAAGGCTAAGAGGGGAGCATGCCCGCTGCACCCAGGCTAGAGGAATGGCAGCCATCCTTAGGAAGGGGCCGATGACCTGATTCTCTGCTGCTTGATGCATCGAGCCTGATAGGGACGGCACCTTCGGTTGCACCCAGAAGGAAACTGGGAGCTACCGTGAAACATGGCCAAACTGGGAAGCGCCCAGTACAAGTTCTGGACCAGGTGTAACTTCCAGGTGATTTTCAAAGACAATCTCCTGTCCAGCGTGTTGCAGTCGTCCTGCCAGGAAGTGACCAAGGCACTAGTGACCATAAGCGATGGGCCTCAGTCCAGGAATGGCCTCCCCAGCCATGTCTTCCACCTGCTCCTGCTGCGGGGTCTATGAGTCCAGGAGGATTCCTGCATTATGCGCACTGTCTGGGCTGTTTGGGGTTGCAGGCACTCTGGGAAACTGCCCTGTGGGCTTCAGCAAGGGACAAAGGCCAGCCACGCACTGGCAGAGCCTGTGTCTGCTGCAGTGAGGCATGTGCCAGAAGCACCCCCAGAGAATGGCCAGCCCCGTCTCCCATGAGCTGCGGGGTGCGTAGTGGAAGCACCCCAGAGAGCCAGTCTGCGGGCTTCAGCAGGTTCAGAGCTGCTGATCCTTGCAAGGCTTTGAAGGAGGAAGGCAGGGCTGACAGCAAGCAGCGACCCTGCGAGTAGATTCCACCAGCATCCGGCTTGCCTCCAACCCTCGCTTAAAGCCCTCAGGCTGGTTCTCCAGAACTGCATCCAACACGTGTGGCACCTCTGGACGCCCACTTCCCTCCGCTTCTGCCACCCCCCCCAAAGAGCTCCTCCCACACGCTCTTCACCTGCAACAGAGAGCACCCCACCTCTCTGTTCCACTAGTACTAAGGTCTGAAGCACCCACCAAGGCACTTCCAGGTTGAAAGGATTAGCTCGTGACATCACTGTTTCCCAGGGGACCCCAAGGGGGCTCCTTTTGTTGCCCTGTTACCCCTCCCTCCAAGGTGGAACCTTTTTATCTGCTTCCATTTGCATACTTTCGGACTGCTGGGTTGGCAGGAGCTGGGACAAATTGACAGGAGCTCATTCCATCACGCGGCTCTCAGGTTTTGAACCACTGAGCTGTCAACCTCTCCGTGGTCTTCAGAGTCAGCATCCTAGCCATTGAGCCACCACAGCCCCTTGTCCTGCTGCCGCCTCCCCAGCTGGGCCATTCAAGCTCTCTTTGGCAAACAAGGCTCCTCCATGTTGCACTCACTGTGCCCATCCCAGGACTGTACCCTCACTCAGTACCTGATCCCAGGCTAGCAGGAGGAGGAAGGAGGTGGAGAAGGTCAGCTGCCAGCAGCGAAGGAGGCAAGGCTCAGCAGCAGAGTCAGGACAGCTAAAAGGGCAGAGAGGGGGGAAGATGGACGGGGGCGGTGAAGCAAAGGCGAATGTGGCAGAATCGAACCGTGAAGTCCTGGCTGTACAATGGTGCTATCCTGGAATTGCCATCGCTAAGGAGCGTGGTTAATAGTCATTGTAAGTCAAGGACTACTTGCAGGGAGTTCCAGTTAAGTGTGAAAGGACATTAAAATAGATGCAATTTACATAGACTTCTGTAAAGCTTTTGATTCAGTGGTACACGACAAATTACTTCTAAAACTAAAACCCTATGGCATTTCTGGACTCCTACATGAATGATAGTTGACTTCCTGTCAAACAGACAAGTGGTCAAAATAGGAAGTGCTCTATCAAATCCTGTACCTGTTAATAGCGGTGTTCCCCAAGGCAGTGTTTTAGGTCCAACACTCTTCATACTTTACATAAATGACCTCTGCGATCATATTAAAAGCAACTGTGTTCTCTTTGCTGATGATGTTAAACTATTCAACACCATCGACAATGCAACTACCTTTCAAAAAGACCTTGATTATGTGTCAGATTGGTCTAACAAGTGGCAACTTCAAATCTCAACCAACAAATGCTCTGTCTTGCACATTGGCAAAAAAAAATCAAAACATAAAATACAAATTGGATGGACATGACCTTGTAGATGACCCTCACTCTGTCAAGGACCTTGGAGTACTCATTTCGAAAGGTCTAAGTGCCAAAGCCCACTATAACAAAAAGGCATTAGGAGTTGTTAACCTAATCTTGTGTAGCTTCTTCTCTGCTAATATAGTACTACTAACTAGAGCATACAAAACATTTGCTATACCAATTCTTGAATACAGCTCATCTGTCTGGAACCCGCACTGCATATCGGACATAAATACAATTGAGAGAGTCCAGAGATATTTTACGAGAAGAGTCCTCCATTCCTCTACCTGCAATAAAATACCTTATGCCACCAGACTTTAAATTTTGGGCTTAGACAACTTAGAACTACACCGACTTCGGTCTGATCTAAGTGTAGTATATAAAATTATCTGCCACAATGTCCTACCTGTCAATGACTACTTCAGCTTCAACCACAACAATACATGAGCAAATAATAGATACAAACTCAAGGTAAACAGCTCCAAACTCGATTGCAAAAAATATGACTTTAGTGTCAGAGTGGTCAATGCCTGGAATGCACTACCTGACTCTGTAGTTTCTTCCACAAACTCCCAAAACTTTAACCTTAAACTGTCTACTGTTGACCTTACCCCATTCCTAAGAGGTCTGTAAGGGGCGTGCATAAGGGCACCAGTGTGCCTTCCGTCCCTGTCCTAATATTCCTTTTTACTCTATTTTCATGTATTCAAATTATGTTTATACTTTTACCTCTTATGTTATATATGCTTGACAAATAAATAAATAAAAATAAAAAGAGCAAAAACATGGCGTCTGCTGGAGGATCTGTGTCCCTCTATGGGGGCAAAAGAGCAAGATCTAGGAAAGGCACTGCCCGATTCCTCCCAGCTTTCTGCTTATTTGATGGCTGAGGCTTCTGTGTATTCGGGAAACTCAGAAAATCTGTGCCAGGCAAACCTTGCAACCCAGGAACTTTCCTCCCTCATTTCCCCAGTTGAAAAAACACCTGGGAAGTGGGAGCTGTCGGGGTGGGCAAAGGGCTCTAGGAAGGAGGCCTTCTTGGCAGATGCCACAGAGGACAGATATGGCAACTGCCACAGTATGTGCCGACTCTCCTTTGCCAAGGTCAGGCTCCCCTCCCCTATCTGGGTATCCTGAAGGCATTTGCCATTTTATGCAGGATACCAGGTGCCACCCTCAGCCAGGCCCTTTCCAGCCCATCTCCTGCTCTGCTACTCACCCACGTACACCTGGTGCAGCTTCAGCAGGTGCCCACAGAAGCACTTGGACTCATCCCCCACCCGGAAACAATCCCAAAGGTATTCAGGGCAGCGCCAGCCGATGTAGAGACCTGAAGAGAAACAGATGGGCAACTCAGTAGGTGGGCTTGCAGAGGCTGGGAGTGGGGGCTGTTGCAGGGCCTTGCCCCAGGCAGCTCAAATCCCACCCAGCAGCCTCAAAACTCCTTCCTCTCTCTTGCCAGGGGTGGTGATGGAGGGACATCCAAGATGCCAGTCTGGGAAACGGCTTGGATTCTGCCCAGGGTCCCCCCCTCCTCCTCACCAGAAGAACCAGAGCATGCCGGTTGCTGCTTAGATAGCAGATTCTGGTTACAATGCCCTCCTGCTCAGAATTAGGTGAAGACGGTCCCTGCTGAGGCTTGCAGCTGGTATCATGGCAGAGGCACCCGGGGCCTGCCCTCCATGGGTCACTGCAGGGAGGCTCCCACCCACCTGTCTGGAGGGACTTGAGGGCCGCCTCCTTCTCCAGGTGGAAGAGCTCCTTGGTGCTCTTGGCAAATTTCTCTCGGTGCATGGCCTTGGCCACCGACACCAGCTCCTCCTTCTCGGCTGGCACGATGGTCCTCACCGTGTAGCCTGTGGGGAGAGCAGCCGGCTCAGAAGCTTCCCCATCCTGGCTTCCGGTTGCTTAGCATCAGCTGCCTTCCCTGTTGGGCTCCAGGAGATGCCTTCGCCCCCACTGCTGCCCCCCAGCCCCCTCCCCTTCTCTCTGCCTGCCTGCTGCTTCAACTGGGGGTGGGGAAGGAGGCTGTGGGGCTGTGGAAACTGCTCTCCTGCTTCGGCTTTCTCCTCGAGGGCGCCCCCCTTCCTTCCCCGTCACCGAAGCTGCCTACTGGAGGAGAGGGGACCCCTGTTCTCCTCTGCTGGGCTGGAGCCTCGGAAAGAGACCACCCGCTTCGCTGCCGGCCTCCCCGCTCTTCCGCGGCCAGAGGCCAGCCCGGCGGCCGAAGGGAAGCAGCATCTGGGCGAGGAGCCGCGGCACCGGCGCTCTCTCCTCTCCCTCCGCCTCCCGGCCCGCTCGCTGCCCTGGCCGACTCCCACTGACTTGGCGCGCCCTTCTTGGCCGGCAGGCCCTTCTTTTTGGCTTTCGGCCGCTCGCCCTGCTCCCCGCGGCCTTCCGCCTCTTCCAGCCGCCGCTGCGGCCCGTCGGAGGGCGCCTTCCAGGAGAGCGACGACGGCGAGAGCGAGGCGAAGGTGAAAGGGGAGCTCTCGAGCGGCGCGGCGGAGGGCTCGCTGGGGCTGGCGCTCTGCGGCTCCGGCCACTCGGACGAGGAGGGCAGGGAGGGGTCCGGGAGCTCGTCCTCCCCCTCCAAGGAGCTCGAGCGCGGCAAGACCGTGTCCTCGTCGCTCCCCAGGGAGGTGGAGGCGGGCGGAATCAGCTCTTCCTCCACCTCGCGAGCCGTGGGCGACGTGCTGCTGGGCGCTGCCTCCTCCTCCTCCTCCTCCACCGCCGCCGCCTGCCAGGACACCGCCGGAGGCAGCGAGGCCGCCGCTTCCGTGGGTTCCGCTTCCATGCTGGCTCTGCGGAATACAAGCACGGGAGGCGATCGGGCGGGCAGAGGGCAAGACGGCTCCCGCGCGCCCGGCCGGGGTCCCTGGGCTGCCGGGCTCTCCCGCTCCCTACGGGCGCTTGGCGTCCAGCCGATGGCGCAGAGCCACCTATGGGCTCCCTGCCGCTGGGCTGCGCGTCTTGGCTTGCAAACCCGAGCCCCGCCTCGCCTCGCCATCTGCCGACGGCCGGGGCCATGGAGCTCTTTCCCGGCGGCGCCCCGAGGGGCTTTTTGCTGCGGATGCGGTGAGGGGGGCAGGGCGAATCGGGGGGGCTGGGGCGGCCGCGGGTGGAGGTTGAGCATGAGTCTCCCTCTCTCTCTCTCACCCCGCAGCTCCTCTACCTCCGTGGGAGTCCTCGCCGGGCAGAAGAGCAGCGGCGGCCTGGAAGCCTGGATTCCCCGGCCGGGAGAGGAAACGTTTCCAGGGCAACAGAAGCCTTGTTTTATTGGCACAACAGCCGCCGGCTGGGTTCCGGCGTGGTTACTCCGCTCCTCCCGCCTCTCTTCCGGGCGCGGGCACCGGGGCTTCCCAGCTGGGCCCTCCCGAAATCGGCCCCCGCTGGGCCACAGCGCGCACCTACGGCAAGGAGGGAGGCTCGCGAGGACCAGGCCTGCCCCGCCCCCCACAGCAGCCGTGGGGAAAGAGGGCCCAGCCTGGGGAGGGCGGCAGAGGTCGCCCTGAGATGGTCCAGAGGGGAGGCCGACCCCCTCCCGCCCCCCGCGGCTCGGAGCTCCGAGGTGCTGGACTCGGCCTGGGATTCTTGGTTAGACTGGTGGCCTTGCCTGTTGCCCCAATGGGGCCTGCTTAAATATCCTTGGTTCAAATTCGGTGCCAACCCAGCGCAGGAGTTTATTCAGCCATTCTCCTTCCCTTTGGTGAGGGTTAGGTCCAGGAGAGCAGCTCCTCTTGCTCTTTCTTCCACTAAAGGGAATTGTCAGCAAGGGAGGACCAGGATGCCAGGATAACTGCCCAGCCTTATTTATTTATTTATTTATTTATTTTATTAAATTTTTATACCGCCCTTCTCCTGCTGGACTCAGGGCGGTGAACAGCCAAGAATAAAAACATCACATACAAAATTTAAAATTTTTAAAAGAATTAAACAAATTTTGGCCCTAATAAATTTAAAACACCCCAACTAAAATCAATTTACAGTTAAAAATATCTAAAAATATCTAAGGGGGGATTACACCAGCCCAGTTTGATGAAATAAAAAAGTTTTAAGGGCACGGCGAAAAGCACGGAGATCTGGGATCCTACGTATCTCCGGGGGCAGGTCGTTCCAGAGGGCAGGTGCTGCCACAGAGAAGGCCCTCCCCCTGGGGGTCGCCAGCCAACATTGGCTGACGGCACCCTGAGGAGTCCCTCTCTGTGGGAGCATACTGGCCGGTGGGAGGCTATCGGTGGCAGAAGGCGGTCCTGTAAGTACCCAGGCCTTAAGCCATGGAGCGCTTTAAAGGTGGTAACCAACACCTTGAAGCGCACCCGGAAGTCCACCGGAAGTCAATGCAGCTCATGCAGGAGGGGTGTCACATGGGAGCACCCCATCGCTCCCATAATCCCCCACGCAGCCGCATTCTGGACCAGTTGGAGCCTCCGGGTGCTCCTCAAGGGGAGCCCCATGTAGAGAGCATTGCAGTAGTCCAGGCGGGAAGTGACGAGTGCCTGAATGACCGTGCGTAAGGAGTCCTGATCCAGAAAGGGACGCAACTGGCGAATCAGGCAAACCTGATAAAAAGCCCCCCTGGCCACGGCTGTCATGCTCTTCTAAAGACAGCCATGCGTCCAGGAGGACGACCAAGTTGCGAGCCCTCTCCTTGGGGGCCAGTAACTTGCCCCCAATAGCCAGCGATGGCACCAGCTGGCTATATCAGGACGCCGGAAGCCACAGCCACGGGGTCTTGGAAGGGTTGAGTCGGAGCCTGTTTCTCCCCATCCAGACCAGCACTGCCTCTAGGCACCGGGACATCACTTCAAGGGCATCATTGGGATGGCCTGGGGTGGAGATGTACAGCTGAGTATCATCAGCGTACTGATGGAACTCCACCCCAAAACCACCTTATGATCTCGCCCAGCGGCTTCACATAAATGTTGAACAGGAGGGGTGAGAGGACAAACAAGGCGCCCCGGGGTCGACCTCTGCCCCCCTGCCAACACCAACTGCAACCAGTCAGAGAGATAGGAGGAGAACCACTGTAAACAGTGCCCCCCACCCCCAACCCCTCCAACCGGCGCAGCATGATACCATGGTCGATGGTATCAAAAGCTGCTGAGAGATCTAACAGGACTAGGATAGAGGAACAACCTCTATCCCGAGCCCTCCAGAGATCATCCACCAATGCGACTAATGCTGTTTCCATGCTGTGCCCAGGCCTGAAGCCGGACTGGAGCGGATCCAGATAGACAGCTTCATCCAGGTACCCAGGAAGCTGTCGCACCACCACACTCTCAAGAACCTTCGCCAAGAAGACTTCCGGTTTGCTTCCCGTCGCCGAAAGACGGTCCCGTTTTTGGACCGCCAGCCCTGCTGCCTGTTAGAGCCGCTTCGATCCAGAGAAGCGGCTCGGAAGTTCCCGAATCCAAAGGATTAGTGGAAGAGAGTGGGCGAGAAGCAGGTTGAACCCCTGTGAGCCCCCAGACAGCTACGGTTTGCTTCTGGGGAGGAAACAGGCGCGGCTCCCTTTCAGCTCGCCGAGACTCCGGACAGCATGGGACGAGTCTGCCCAGCGCAAAGCAAGGCAGCAGGAGCAACCTTTCTACTCAAAACAAAGTAAACTCAAACAACCAGGGTGGAATAACAACTTGAACCTCGAAACTGCAAGTATTACTAGCCCTGTGATTAAGTTTAAAGCAGAAGAGTGAATGTGTGAAAGTCACTTGAAAATGGCGCCCGGCTTCAGCGTTAACGAGCTGAAAGCGAGAGTGGATTAGCAAAGTTATTTCAACTAGCTACAAAATTGCACTGTCTGTAACAAGTGGAGGAAAAGAAAAGAAAAATCCTTTTTTAAAACAAGCCTGATCTTGCTTCAATCTCAATTTCACCCTTAATCTGACTAAACCTGGGGGAATTTTTTAGAAGACTTTGTGGTGGAGGAAAGGGAAAAAGGATCTCCTTTTTTGGAAAAGCTAGCCTACATGGCAGGATGGCTTCTAAGCAGACCAAACAGGAAGGGAAGGTGGCGGGGGGGGATCCCCCACACGTAAACCTGAACAGCAGCCTCCCAGCCAGCAGACCCAGAAAAAAGAGATTGATCTTGAAAGCTTAAAGGATTTTATCACTCAGGCTTTGGATGAGAAATTTGAAAAGTCACAACAGGAAATTAAGCAGGAGATTAAAGAAATTAAAGAGGTGGTGCAAGAAAAGTATGATAAGGTGACTAAAAAATTAATGACAGTGGTGGCTGGATTGTCAGAAGCAATTATTAAAACAGATGCTAAGGTGGAAGAATTTAAATCAGAAATGGATGTCAAAATGAAGGAAACTGACTATAAAATCTTTGATGCTGATAATAAAATGCAGAGATTTGAAAATGAAATTACAATGATGCAGTTCAGGTCTATGGAATTTGCTATAAGGCTGAGAGGCATAAAAGAGAACGATAGACAAGACCTGAGACAGATTTGTGCTGATGCTGTAGCTGTGCTGTTAAAGATTAGCCCTGAAGAGATTTTTTGCAAAATGGATAAAATTTACAGAGTGAATTCGTGGGTGGCCAGACAAAGACAATTGCCTAGAGATGTGGTGATATATTTCACAGACAGAAGAATGAGAAATGATATTTTGCAAAAATCTTTTCTCTCTGCTGTGCAAGTGGAGCTACCACCTAAGATGTTAAAAGATAGAAAAGATTTTGGATTTCTAGTGAATGAATTAAAAAAACAACAAATTCCATTTTGGTGGGATGCTCCAACTGGCATAATCTTGAGGTATAATGGAGAAAGATACCGATTAAACACTGTTGAGAAGGTGGAACAATTTTACTCTAATGTTTTTAAAGAGAGTTCACCATCCCCATGTACATCTACTGTGTTGGAGATAAAGGAGAGTGATAAGGAGAAGCAGCTTCAGGAAGAGATGGAAGAGCAGCTTAAGCAGGTGGAACCAGAGGTAATGGAAATGCAGGGAGCTACAGGAGGTTTTCTGGAGGAGCCCCTGCTAGACCTTCCTTCGAAAATTGTGATTGAACCACCTAAGACTACAAGAGAAGTGGCTTTGGACCTAGCCCGGATGTGTGAAGCTAAAGATTAGCGTATAACTCGAGCAATTTCTAAGCAACTCAAAGAAAAATAACAACAGGAAAGGCCCAAGCCACAACAATATAAGAAAGGAGTCAAGAGCAATATACAAGAATGTGAAGCCATGGGGGGAGCAAAGCCGAAGACTACCGATTCGGAAGATCTTCGGCAATTCTGCTCGTCGCTTCAAAAAAGTGTACATGACGATTAAGTTTTTATCTTGGAATGTGAACGGACTAAATTCACCACAGAAAAGGAAGAAATTATTTACATATTTGAGACAATTTAATAATGATATAATTTGTTTACAAGAAACTCATGTTAGAACACAAGATCAAAAATATCTGATAAATTCAAGATTAGGAACACATTTTATTGCTTCAAATTTGGAAAAAAAGAATGGAGTGGTTATTTATATAAACAAAAGACTGTCAGCTAAAATTATAGAAGCAGATGAAGGTGGGAGGTTTATAGCAATTGGACTGCACACAGTAAGTGGCCTAATTCTTGTGATTGGAATTTATGCTCCTAATCAACAACAGGATAATTTTTACAAAACTTTGCATTCTAAAATATTGCAATGGGACTATAGATCTATTTTAATCATGGGAGATTGGAATGGAGTAATTGACTCTAAAATAGATAAAAAGAGTTTGGCGAAGTCAAGGATTAGATTACCACAGACTTTTTTTTGACATGAAAGAAGATTTGGAATTAAAAGATATTTGGAGAATACGTAACCCAAAAGAATTTTCAGATAGACACAGATCCTTTTCTAGGATTGATTTTATTTTGTTATCAGCTGACTTACTTGTAAAAACAAAAAGAACAAAGATTTTTCCAAGGACTTTAACTGACCATAGCCCGGTATGGATAGAAATTGAGATGGGAAAGAGTGAGAGAAGATCATGGAGATTAAATGAAAATCTGTTTAGATATGAAAAGAATATAACAGAACTTAAAAAGCAGATGAAAGAATTTTTTGAAATGAATTTGAATAAGGGTACCCCTATTGAAATTGTGTGGGATGCGAGTAAAGCGTATATGAGAGGGGTACTCATCCATATGAACTCTAAACACA